TATATATATTATAAAATTAGAAAGAGACTGACTTCTTAGAGAGGCTACAAAGAAAAAAATAATGTATTCCCTCTCTGATGGCCCTGTTGCATGATAACATTTTAGAAAACTTATGCTAGCTTAAGAGTTTTTTGATCAAGTTGTTAGCATTAGAGTATTTGCACGCCTAAAAGAGGTTTTCAATTGATTTTTTTAAACTTTCATCTCCAACATAGACGTCTTTAAATTTTTCATTAGTCGGCAGAAGTTGTAACGTGCAGTGTGACAGCACAGCTTAGGCTTGCGAMGCTGAATTTTGGAGCAAAGTTTTTTGGACAGACGACACCAAAGTTGAGATGTTTGACCATAATTCACAGAGAAACTGTCAGCAGCATGGTGGTGGAGGGGCCATGATGTGGGCTTGTTTGGCAGTCCGAGGGCTTGGGTATCTTGCAGTCACTGAGTTGATCGTGAACTTCTCTGCATATTAAAAGTATCCTAGAGTCAAATGTGAGATGGAGCTGAGGATCATGCGAAATCATCCACAAAATTAATAATCTCAAATACAACAAAWTTTTTATGTTTCGCAATGGTCGGGTCRAAGTCCAGACTGCAGAAAATGCTGCGGTGGAACCTCAAGAGTGCATGAAACAAAAACAAAAAAATACCAATAAACCTCCGTGAACTAAAGCCACATTACAAAGAAGAGCAAATCTCTCCACAGAGATGAGACTGATAGAATRGGTCTTTAAGTTAATCTCAATAAAATTGATTCTACAGCTTTGGTTTTTWGCTTTTATATTTCTTGCGCAATTTTAGTTACATAACCCATGAGACAATCAGCTGTTCAGCTGAGTTTATAATAGTCTGCTTTTAAATYTGATAAGGACTAGATGCAGTTTTATGTCTGGATGTACAAAACTTTAGAACTAAATGGTGTTCTTTCTTTGTAGCATAAACAGWTTGTTGACACAAATGCGTGAATAATCACACTGACGTCAAAAAACGAAACAAGAAGAAGCTTGAAACCCTTCGAAATGAAATAAATCAGACAGAAGCAGATGTTTATATTTCTGTATTGAAACGCAGTGTGCATTTAAACACATCAGCCCAACGAACATTTAGTGCAAGTTCTGCAAACATCACATTCATACAACCGGTTTCTGCAAGATTGTCCTGCTGAGTTTGTACATCAGCTGGAAAGTAACCCCCTTCCAAAACACAGACGGAAAATAACTTTTTATAACAAGAAACTCAATACAGGTAAAAAGAAAGATAAATGGATATTTTAAAGACGAAACATCACTTGAACCCTTCAAAACAGCAACCTTCAGTCCAATAAACATGAACAATGGCATGATGGCACAATTTTACGCTGTCATGTCAGATTTTAAAGGCAGTTTAATTGTGAGCATCATTTCTATGCTATTTCAGTTGCATTTCTATAAAATTGTCAACATTTAAGCTTCAACGTTGCGTTGAGTCAAACTAATTTTATGTGAGAATAAGAGCTTTAAGCACACTACAGGGAGATTGTTAACTGTGAAACAATGAGGTGCATTATCGTTTGTGCAAACCTTCATGCTGTGTATTGCTGTATTTTTTTTGTTTGTTTTCTTGCAAATGTTTTGCAAGAGGGCAAGTTTTTAGTTTTCTATTTTCAACACACTGACGTAAACAAACTGCAAATAAAATTAAAAGCGGCACAAAATAAAGACTTGTAACTAAAAGAATAATACAATTAAAGCCATTTGATAACATGTTAGCTTGTTGTGGAGTTTTCCAAGAAAGCTAATGCTCCCTTGTTAAGAAAAAGAACGGGTTGTTGTCACATAAACCACCGACCCATCAACGTCTGCTCAAACTAGATTAAGCAATGAAGACAGTAATGCAAATAAACACTAAAAAGTGGAGCAAAACATCAAAATGTGTTTCCAAATAAAACAGAATTTGATGCTGGAACCTTCACTGAGCCTAATTAAAAAGAGACAAGCGGCACCACTGAMCTCTGACTTCTAATTGGATTTTGCTCAGTTTAAAATGTTGACTCAGGACTGTGCAACAGACTCGTGTCTCTATTAGCAGAGCTGTTGCAGCGTGCTACGAGCTAAATGCTACCACATGATTCAGCATAACATCCATGTTCATTTGAGCTGAGTGGAAACAAGAGTGGGACATGTGGTGCCGCTGACCCAAATCTCATGCAGCTGGACGTTGGGGAGCAAACTGCAAAGCTTTGAAGAAACCAGAAAATAAAGAATTACAGAAACAAAATTTGTTTAATWGGTATGAAGCAGGATTTGGGCCACTGGGGGGAAAAAAATAATAATTCTGATTTTTTTCTCAGAATTAWGAAAGTCGGAATCCTGACTATTGTCTGACTTTGTCAGTATTCTGAGAAAAAAATGTCAGAATCCTGAGATTAAATTCAAAATTACCCCCCCCCCCCCAATTGGCTCTCTCTAATCCTCTTTCGTAAATAGGCTGCTGCTCGATGATGTGAAAAAAACAATAAAAACTCAGTACTGAAATACACATAAGTGACTTTAAAAACCATTTCTTGTATTGAAGCTAAGTGACATCTTCATATATTCTGTATTATAGTTTGACATAAAACATTAGAAATTACAAAAGTGCAGCACAATAAAAGTAAACAGAATAGAAGTATTTGGCGATACATATAAATCTTGAACTGTGCAGTTTCTAAATCATGTCCACACACACACACACACACACACACACACACACACACACACACACACACACACACACACACACAATGGTGACAAAAGTCATACAGATTTGGATGTAAACCCTGTGAATGAAATCAAACTGATATTTCTCACAAACAACATGAGGAGACATCATTTGAATGCTGCGATATCTGATCCTGAGAATAACTGAACTTTTTACAGGAAAAACGTCTTTATTTTAGGGTTGGGCAATATCGGCAAAAAAATTAATCGCGATTAACTGTGGTATTTTGCCGATAACGATTCATTTAACGATTGATCCCCTGGACGCCCTTATGTCGTAGTCACATGACTAATTTAATGGAAAAATTTTTGCTCTTCGTAAAAATCTGTTCCAAATTGTGTCAAAATCACAGACTTCAGGTATAAGATCAAATTTTAAATTGTGTTGATAGATAAATAAATTACAGAACTTTTATTTTAATGTTTGTCATATTTGAAGTGGAGAGGAGCATTGAGGTCAGTCTGCCTGCTGGCATTAATCGTATTAATCGTCAAGTGCCAAAAAATAATCGATTAATGTTTTTCTGACCATTAATTGCACACGATACGATTATGCCCAACCCTACTTTATTTGCAAACATTTGTCACCAGCTTGGAGCAGGTTCCCCTTCAATTTACTAAAAATAAATAAATAAACGCTTTGATAACTGCTAACTAACTGCTTCTCATTCATGTACTCCTGCAGTAACAAGTTACTTAAACATTCAATCAAACTTTGTTTTGTCCATGTCTATAAACTTTTGTTTATTCTACGTATTGTAAGGAATTGAGAGGGTTAAGATAGAATTCATAAATACAAACTGGATCGATTGAACTCATTTTTAACTGTGAATCTTAATGATAATGTCAGATTTTCTGTCTACTGCTGAGGTGATTAATGCAGTGGTTCTCAATTGCGGTCCTCTAATTCCAGACCCACTACCCTGCATGTTTTAGTTGTTTCCCTCTTCAGTATTTCTTTAAGTTCTGCAGAAGCCTGCCAATCACATTTAAATCAGGTGCGCAAAAGCAGGGAAACAACTGAAACATGCAGGGTAAAGGGGGGTCACGAGAAGTGAAATTTAAAACCACTGGATTAATGCAACAAAACAGAATCTATAAAGAAGAAGAAAGTCTCCTAAGCATCCTTGGCAACAATATTTCAGCTCATTTCAGCCCGATTTCTTCTACTCATGATGAGTTGTCTTTTAAAATGTGTTTGCACATCAAAAAGGCTGATAATAATTATTCCATTTGATAAAACTATCTGTCAGATTATGGCAAAAGTAGGATTTGGTGATAAAAATGAGTGAAACTGTGATTTTTTTTAATCTCATAACATCTTTGTGGTTATAAACATTATTCAACAGTCATTTCTTCAGTTTTTTTCTTCACAATAGTCCACGTCAAAGTCCAGGTTCATCATCTGTCCATTTAAGCTTGTGTTTGAGAAGAGAAGGCAGGGACCCCCAAGCAGCAGTCACTTTTTGGACTCTTAGCTCATTAAGCTCCTTTTTACTTAATTTAGATTCAAAATGCAATTTTTGAAAAAAATCCCATGAAGCCTTCCTCTCTTCAGTACCTTTCTGTCCGTCCCAGCTCAGTTTTTTTTTCTAGCGAGTTTCATCTTCATTGAAGCTGAGAGACCTTGAGGGGTGCAGTGCTGCCAAAGTCCAGGAAGAAGGGTCCTTCCTGTTTGGGCAGGAAGGTGCTGGGGGTGACGTTGTAGATGCCTGCTGGGACCAGGTCCACCTCCATGTAGCAGAAACCACATCTATAAAAAGTCAAACACGTTTTATGATGAACAGAAATTTAACAGTTCAGATAAATAACAGTCAATGATTTCCACTCTGTTCTAAAATTGACTTTGCCTAAATCTAGAATAATCCAGTAAGATGGATTTTAAAYGGCACATTAGGACTTGAGCTGAGTCATGAGACTTTGTGGAAAAGGTCACCACATCTTCTTTAGTTAGTCAGGAATGTTTGATGACCTTTATCAAGAATTTAATGACACACTTTCAAACAACAAGCAAAAGGTCCCTTGTTCATTTTAGTACATTTCATTCTGACAGGAATGTACCGTTTCCTAATTTCCAACATTTCTGTCTCAGTTCAGGACATAGACTTAAATATATAGATCACTAGACTGAGCCCCGCCCATACCGTCCACTGGTAGTGTCTGTGACAGCATGGAGG